ATTATATGTTTGTTTTATTCTCGTTATCTTATCATTCTGATGTTATGTATATTTATATATAAATATACATATAGGCCAAACATATTTCTTGTAAAGCACTTTGTAAACACTGTTTTTATTATATGAATAAAATAAATCATGTTTAACTATATTATTATTATTCGATTGCCATTTATATATTATATTATATTGAATGAATGAATGAAGCATTTATATAGCACTTTATTGTGTATTGCTGTACACCCAAAGCGCTTTACACTCATAATTGTATTAGGATCTCTTCTCTATTATATTATATTATATTATATTTAGGTTCTCTTTTAGGTTTCTTGTTCATTTTCTTATTATTCAGATATGTTATGTATATTTGCATGTACATATACATGTATTTTATTTATTCATAGTAAGAAATGTATGTATATATTCCTTACTATGTGAATAAATACAATATATTATTATATTTTAGTGCATTAGAAGCGACTTATAAATAGCTTATATAGCAAACTTCATTACAGACTTATGAGGGAAATATTCACTAACAAAGTCTGTACAGAACAGGGGTCGCTGATGTGTTTGTATATGATTGTGTTGATGTGATTACTCACCACTAGAGGGCGACAAACTCAGTTTAGTCACGGAGAGAACACTGCTTATCTTCACCTGCTGCTGGTGGAGTGTGAGTGATGCTGGTATTACTCAAACACCCCACTAATGAATTAGTTCAAGTCAGGCGAGTTTGAAAGAATCCAGCACTACTGGATAATTATTTTCATGACAAAAACCAGATAACAGAATAATAATCTATGCTGTACCACACTGCAGTTCATCTCTTTGACCGTGTTATAGTTTGTGGTTGCTGATATGATTTTAGGTAATATGATCAGCCAATGGTCAAGTGTCAATTTTGGACCTTCGGAAAAGCCACCATCATAAAACGGTACACATCAGTGATCTCTGTACACCAAATACTTGTCATTATGAGGTTAAAGGGCATATTTACATTTATAGAATCAAACTACACTCTTAAATATAAAGGTGCTTCAAAAGGTTCTTCAAGCGATGCCATAAAAGAACCATTTTTGGTTCCACAAAGAACCATTCAGTCGAAGGTTCTTTAAAGAACCATCTCTTTCTTACCTTTTTATAATCTGAAGAACCTTCTTTCACCACAAAGAACCTTTTGTGGAACAGAAAGGTTCTTCAGATGTTAAAGGTTCTTTAAGGAACCATTTAGACAAAAAGGTTCTTCTATGGCATCGTGAAGCACCTTTATTTTTAAGAGTGTATACCTCAAATTAATTGCAAACTAGGTGCAAATTTGTAATTTATACTTATTTATTTCATCGTGTCTGACCATATACAGTACATAATAGTTTTGACCTGTTTTGCTGCTGCGTAGGCCTGCTGTACACTGGTGCTGCCTAAAATCAGTTCCAGAACATATGTACAAGTGTGTATGCATTTCTTTTCTTTTTTTTCGTTAAAGGGATGTTGAAACAACACCGGTTTAGGACATAAACACATATTGAGAAATGACATACAGGCATCAACATCACAGAAATGAGCATCATAATAACATATTGAGTAACTTTGTCCTCAAGTGAAATCTTGTGACTCTGCAACATGCAATAACACATTGATATGCCCTCAACGGGTCATGCTGCACTGCAATAGACACAACAGTTCCATTGCAAAACAAACGATCAAACTGTTCATTTAACCAAAATGCCCATGAAATGTTTACTGATGAATTACTGTTAGTGTAGTTAGAGTAAATCATAACATAGTTCCTACATGCAAAACATTTTTTTTACTTAGAATATTGTAACTACATTCTCAACATTGCACCTCCTCTCTACTCACATTCCTTGCATCACAGGAATAGTTCACCTAAATATGAAACTTTGCTGAATATGTACTCCATCCGAAATGTAGATGAGTTTGTTTCTGCATCTGAACAGATTTGGAGAAATGTATCATTAGCTGTCAGTACAAGAGTGCAAACAGCTGATAAAAACATCACAATAATCCACACGACTCCAGTCCATCAGTTAATGTCTTGTGATGTGACAAGATGGGTTTGTTTCTTGTAAACACGTAGCATAAAGGCATTTTAATTTTAAGCGGTCACTTTTGGCCAAAATACGAGTTCATAATCCATAATAATGCTTCCTCCAGTGACAAAGTCCATCCCCTGTTGTCCTCTCACATCAAATTCCACCAGCATATCAGTTTAGAACAGTTTTCTCTTGTAAACGGTGTTATTTCTCTCCTGATTCAGTACTCCTATTTCATCCAGAAGCAACGTTTAAAGTTAAAAATGTCGTGGATTTGTTTTCTTATAAACTCACAGCTTTTCACTTCACAAGATGTTAACTGATGGACTGGAGTGGTGTGGATTACTTGTGATGTTTTTATCAGCTGTTTGGACTCTCATTCTGACGGCACCCATTCACTGCAGAGGATCCACTGGTGAGCAAGTGATGGAATGCTACATTTCTCCAGATCTGAAACAAACTCATCTACATCTGTCCTGAAGGTGAGTACATTTTCAGCAAGTTTTCATTTTTGGCCGAACTGTTCCTTTAAACTCCCAGATCTTCAGTTTAAATGAGAAGGAACGGCTAAGCCAGTTGACAGTATTCCTGAAATGCTTTTAACAACATGTCGCTCATTCTCAGGTGCTTTGCAGCAGCAAGCTATCAATACTCCGAGCGTGGCGGCTACACTCTTTCACCGCACAGAATCTACTGGAGAGCAAGGAGAGGTCATTTGTTTATTTTCAGCACACTTGTCCAGACTCAGAGAGTCAGGGCTTACATGAAAGGCACTTTGTTTCGTGCAGCGGTGGACATAAAAGCTCTGACTAATAAGTTGGCTACGTGAGCCCAAAATAGATGCAACTTTTGATTGATCTGAAAAGATTGCAACTAAATAAACTTGTCATTTTCTTGCTGTCTGCATGGTGTCTTTAGAGAAAAGATTGCTCTTTTTGTTTTAGTCTGTATTGATACTTGATTATATATCCTTGACAATACATAATAATGGGTATTTTCTGTTTTAATAATTAAAAAATTTAGCAATGCAACTATACAGCATATTTAATTATAGGAAATGTTTCTTGAGCAGCAAATCATATTAGAATGATTTCTGAAGGATCATGTGACACGGAAGACTGGAGTAATGACGCTGAAAATTCTGCTTTGTCATCATAGGAATAAATTACATTTTAAAATATACTGAAATAGAAAAGTTATTTTAAATTGTAATAATATTTCACAATAGTTTCCTATATTTTTAGTTCAAATGAATGCAACCTTGGTGAGAATAAGAGACATGAAACATGAAAAAGTCTTACCGACCCCAAACCTTTGAATGGCAATGTAGCTAAAGAGATGTTTGTGTGAGAGTTTATAATCAAACACAATTATTTTCTGATTTCTGATACTAATGACAGATCAATATATCAGCCAGGCCAATTAACTGCTGGATACTTGGCCATTTTGAGATGACTGCATTGTCGATAACCCCCGTGTCAGTTCCAAGATAATAATAAACATAAGTAAACAATATTTTAAAAAAATATTATATATAATACATTTAGCATATAATTAATTTAATAAATTTTTTAAATAAATTTTTCATTTATTATCAGTAATTTTATGTAAATCTCATTTGCTATCTATGAACTCTCTAGATTATTGTCATTCGCCATTGAAAACCCCATTTTAGATGAATATCAGTCTATATCATATCATATCCAGGTCTGCACCCCCAAAATATGTGCCTACATGCACAGAGAACTAGTTTCATAAGGCAAGGCAAGGCAAGTTTATTTGTATAGCACATTTCATACACAATGGTAATTCAAAGTGCTTTACATAAAATAAAATAAAAACAATAATCACAACAATAAAACAAGGAATTTAAAAAAATTCCTATATAATAATAAATAATAAGCACTACTACAAAAGTGTGTTCATAACTGAACTATAATCAACAGCACAGATAAAGGCCAGTACTTTCCTTCTCTGAGAGCTTTTATGGCAGGGATTTTTAGGGATTAGATTTGTAACAATCTACACATTGTATTTTAAAATGGTCTGTGATATTTGAGAGCAGCCCCCTAAGTTGTTCACTGAAACAGAGACCTTCCTTTCATTGGTGCTACTTCACTGAAGAGTGAAAACCGCTCTTTATAACTGCTGCCCAGCCTGTCCACCAGCGTCCCTTTTGTAGCTCTTTGGAAGCATGTTCAGTTTTGCCATTTGTGGACAACGATGACAAGACACAAAAGCATGCTGGCCATAAATAGCGCCGAGCAGCAGAGGATTGCTCCCTGCCTGCGGATCAAATTCTCCAAAGGGAAAAGCAGCTACTGGCCTCAAGCCCAGATCTTCTGCAAGACCACGCTCATAGAAACCGCCTGGCCTGTGAGAAGTAGTGAAGGAGGCTGGGCTGCTCATTTAAACTTTATTAAGTGCTTTAAGACAGCGGCTTCCCCCAATCTGAAGATGTATGCATATGATTTCGCATTAGTGAGTTCAATGCTTTACTTGATTGGTATGAAAGAATCAGAATGCCTAAAAAAGCCAAAAGCCAAACCAAATACTAACAAACCATTCAATAACCAGAAAATGAACGTCTGTCGAGAGAAACTTTGAATATTGCTTAAAGCAGATTTTAAAAGTCTTGAAGCTTGTATTGACCTTTTGTACTTCTGTATCTATACAGCATTACAGGATAGAGATCGATAGAAATGACCGACCATTTCATTGAGCCAAGAAATCCATTCAAGAATTCGGCCACAACATTTTATTTCAAAGTGGCACCTTCCTCGATCTCAAAAACAATGTTTCACTTCAGGCTGCAAATATTGCCATCTTTACAGATAATATTGTGTTTTCATGTAGTGTAAAAAAAAAAAAAGATCATTCCAAGCAGCTCGGCCTTCACGTTCAGAGGTGCGTTTGAATCAAACGCTGCAGTGGAGGAGTTCAGAACTCATCTGTTTATGTCCATATGCGTAACAGGAATGAAAACTGTGGTAACTTCTATTCCGTGCTGACAGACAAAGAACTTCCAGAAAGTCCTCCTTCAACTGGTAGTGTAAAAACCAAAAGTGCTTCGTTGATCTGCATAAACGTAATGTGTTCGCCATGTCAAAAGAGCCAAATTAGGTAGAAGAGTTCAAATAAATAGTTTCAAACGTGTAAAGTGCTTGTCACCGGTTAACACATTGCTGTGAGGCATTAATGTACAGCAGTCTTCTTACAGCATAATAGAATATCTCTGTGAATACATCATATCAACTCTTAATATCTGCTCATCCAAGCTTTCTACTGTCGTTTGGCAAAACACAAAGAGGGAGGCAGAAAGTTCTTTGGGGACGTTATAAAAGCTAACTGCAAAAGTAAGCTAGCATTCAACTGGTAGATTTTTTTCTTACATATGTTAATGAGATCTCTTTAATGTGGAAAAACAAAAGAAAAAGGAAATAACGACAAACTAGGAGTATTCCTTCATGATCATATGATAGAGACAGCTGCTAAGATGAAAGCGTGTGGAATCCAGATGGCACATGGCTGTTGAGTTTACAATGGTCTCCCCTCCAGCGATACGACCACACTTCCGCCCAACTTCTCTGCCAGGGTTGAGCGGTCCTGAATGTCGTCTAAACCATTAACCTGCCATTCGTGTTTGATCCCTGAAAAAGGACACGATTGCATTCGATTTCAAAATAAGGACTTTTAATAAAAAATGCTGTACTACTGGCGTGTTTTGTTTCAATGTGAACATGAAGTTATGTGTGCTTTCTTTGTTCCTGATCTTACTGGGATTGATAAAACAAAATCCAAAACTACATGGCCCTGTGTGAAAAAGTGTTTGCCCCCTAAACCTAATAACTGGTTGGGCCACCCTTAGCAGCAACAACTGCAATCAAGCGTTTGCGATAACTTGCAATGAGTCTGTTACAGCGCTGTGGAGGAATTTTGGTCCACTCATCTATGCAGAATTGGTGTAATACACTTTTTCACACCACTGTGTATATATATATGAATGTATGTTTGGTTATTTGGTGTCATAGCTGTTACAATATCATTCAATTTCTTGGAAGAATGTATTGACCAATCATCACTCAGGACCCAGCATCCAGATACTATCTGTTTTTGTAAAGATGCATTATGGGTATTCTTAGCGAATATGACTGTACTCACCTGTAAACTTCTTCTTAATAGCATCTTTCGAGCTAGCATAAATCATCTTGCTTTTTAACGGCGCACCTTCAGGGGCCCTATAATCAAAAACACCAATGCTCAGTACACATGCTAACATCAAAGAAAACAGAATTGACATGTGTTAGAGGATAGCAGAATTGAAAAGCAACAAACAGCAAGGTTATTATTATTAACTGAAGCTTTTATATAGATGAAATTTCCTAAGCCTGACGTTAAACTATCAGTGTATTCTGGGGGGGGGGGAAAGCTAGACAAGTGACATCTGGGCTGCGTTCAGCCCCAACAAAAACGGTGCAAAAGCATGTTTGACACACCCACCAAACAAGAGAAAACGCATCTCAAACCCCGTTGCACACCGTTTCCAGGAAACATGTTGTTCAAAACGGAAACCGTCGCAAAATGGTGCACACCGGTTTGAGCTTGAACTTGCCCCTGGCTTGACAGGTAAAATAACTGATCGCAGTTCGCTTGCTGGATTTTCTGGTACTGATACAATGTTGTATGCACTGCTATAGGTAGATCTAACAAGTTCTAAGACAAAAAAAACCAAAACAACAAAAATTGGAACTAAGACTTCAACAAAACAAAAAAGATACAAATTTAAAATCAAAATACTAAAAATGCATGAATAAATGCATAAAAAACTAAATGCAAAATTATATTTAAAAATGCATAAATAAGTAAATAAGTAAATAAAATATATTTTTTAAAAAGTATCTGTAATTATTAGGGTTGCAAATGGGCAGAAAATGTCCCCAAAATCCTGGAAATTTTCTGCCCCTTTGCAACCCTTATAATTATCTTGGCAGTCAGACTACGTACCAAAATATAAATACCAAGTCTTCTTTCTTGGACTCTTTAGTTTCATAAGTGGCATCGTATAAGCCGTATCTGCAGTCATTGAGAGGTAAGAGCTTCGCGAAGCAGGCGTAGGGATCATCGGCTGTTCAAAACGGAAACCGTCGCAAAATGGTGCACACCGGTTTGAGCTTGAACTTGCCCCTGGCTTGACAGGTAAAATAACTGATCGCAGTTCGCTTGCTGGATTTTCTGGTACTGATACAATGTTGTATGCACTGCTATAGGTAGATCTAACAAGTTCTAAGACAAAAAAAAACAAAACAACAAAAATTGGAACTAAGACTTCAACAAAACAAAAAAGATACAAATTTAAAATCAAAATACTAAAAATGCATGAATAAATGCATAAAAAACTAAATGCAAAATTATATTTAAAAATGCATAAATGCATAAATAAGTAAATAAAATATATTTTTTAAAAAGTATCTGTAATTATTAGGGTTGCAAATGGGCAGAAAATGTCCCCAAAATCCTGGAAATTTTCTGCCCCTTTGCAACCCTTATAATTATCTTGCAGCAGTTAGTTAATGTCATGTAATCAAACAGACGGTGAACACTATTAACAGCAATGCTTAAATCTCTACACTATTCACATGCCATTTTAAAATGTATTCCTCAAAACTTACTTCTTACACTCTAAAAAATGCTGGGTTAAATACAACCCAGTGCTGGGTAAAATAGGGACAAACCCAGCAATTGGGTTTTTTTGACCCAGCTGTTGGGTACTACCCAGAAGGCTGGGTTAAACATTTAAACCAACCGCTGGGTCAAAACAACCCAATTGCTGGGTTTGTCCCTATTTTACCCAGCACTGGGTTGTATTTAACCCAGCATTTTTTAGAGTGTACCATGTATTTTTATCTCCTATTCTTATACTGACTAGTACCTAGTTTTACTGGTGTAATTATTCATGATATTACTTATGAGATATTATTAGAGGACTAAAATGAAATACTAGAGGATTAAATTTGAATATTAGTAACCAACGGTGATTGCTATAGATTCAAATAAGAACTTAATTAGATACTAGTACTAGCTATTCTTTGGATATAATGAACTACTCCAACTGCACTGAGATAAATCAATAAATAATACATAACTTAATATTTGTCTTGTTTTCCAATACAAATATTTAAAATTCTTAATTTCAGATCAATTTACTTGAGAAGCAACATGACTTAAAACAGTTGTATTTAGATGATATATACTTGTTTCAAGCAAAAACTCAAAATAATTAAGAAATGATAATATATCAAACATAAATAATAAACAAAATAATATCACCCTAGTTCCTACTTACTAGTACCTACTCCACTTTAACTACTAACTATTCAATGGATATAAGCAGCATCTGATTTTTCTTTACTTTCCAGAGCAATTTATTTTGTACTTATTTATAATATCTAGGAAAATGGCTACTTGATAGTTGAATTGAAAAACAAATACTAGTAAGACTAAAAAGTCACTGTCATCAATTGAAATACATTCTATTCAGAATATATACAGAACAAAGAGACACCTATACTTAATTATAATTATTATTTTTACAACTATTATAAATTACAAATATTATATATACTAGTAACAAAATGTAAAAAGTACTGGAATGTGCTAAGCATTTAGTAGTAAGTAAAAGTACTGGATATGTAATATTATTGAATAAGTATTTAGTGGATTTTCAATATTTAATAAAAAGCTAGTGTCAACTATTATAATAGTTACCAGTATCGAAGGTACTAGTAAGTGTGAGTGGTTAGCAGTAAGTGCGCAGGCGCACAGACGCGCTTTGAGCTTTACATAAAATAATCCGACTCTCTCTCTCTCTCTCTCTCTCTCTCTACCACCACTAAATCATGAACAATTAGCCCAATTCACTCCCCAGGACACACAACAGACATCTGACAGCATAAAACGGCATAACAGTTCTGATTATACACGAATGAGTCCATCAATTCAGCCCCGATCATTGATTTATTTCTCCAGCGCCAGTGAGCAAAAGTTGGAGAGGCGCGCTCAGAATGATTAAAGCACCGGCTAAAATTAGCTAAAAATGGCTGCCTTCAGCTTCAGGCCTGAGATGGAGATTCATATCAAATTAAAACAGATTTCAGTAACCACAAAATAAACTTAGCCAAATATAGCTTTATATTCTTCAACCCGAGCGCAAACAATCGGGGACCTCGTCGCAGCGCCGCATTACATTCCTGCCGGAGCTGAAACCGTGACAGATACCGATCAAAAGTTTGACAGCAAGTGTTTCAAAATAACATTGTAACAGCTATTATGAATTGAGAATGAACAAGGTGTGACAGAAGACCTGTGCTTACCATGCTGTCCGACGCGATGAATCAATAAACGATTATTTTCTTGGTACTTCTATCTGGGAATGTGCACAGCCGAGAGTGTGTGTGTGTGTGTGTGTGAGAGAGAGAGAGAGAGATCACTGCACAGCCGCAGTGAAGGACTGCTCAAGCATATGCACTGTCATTGGGACACTTGGCAATGAAATGGACAAATATGTGCCACCAGAGAAACCATACATTTGAATTACAACTTTGCATAATATTGTTTAAAACAACAATCACTTAAATGTAATGAAAATATGACAATGTTTAAACTTTTAAGCTAGGAACATTACAAGACATTTTAGACCAGATGATAATTGGGAAAAAACAAATATTCATCATAAATGACCATATTCATTAGTAGTTTCAGGCACATCAGCTGATGACCTGATATAAATTAATGTTATACAGTGTACATCATTTAAATGGACAAAGCCAGTTTTTGTTTCTCTTCTGGACAATCTTCATTTAAAGTGCACCTAACTCTGAATACATACAATTCATGCATACCTGAAAATCAGTGATGAAAACAAGTGGTCAAGCCAAATATTAATTTATTTTACATTCAGAAAAAAAATAATAAAATTTACACAGCAGGTAATATGAATCTTAAGACCCATGAAAGGAAAACTGATCATACAGCTTTCTGATGGAGAAGGGGGGTGGGGGACATAACCTATAAAGACAATTTTATAAATAAAGCAAGCAAATTATACCCAAATCTAATAATAAATAACCAAAAACTGAAAAGGGAAGCAACAAAATGGGATGTTTTGGTTCCTACTTAGTGTTTATGCAAGCTATAGGGACCTGAACGAAAGAACTGAGTTAATCTATACAACTACAAAACACAAATTCTGTTTGTTCCTTTGAGCTGTGAGACTTAATTTATCATCAAAAAGGAGACGCAGGTCTGTAAAAATCTATACAAAATAGTAGTCTAGAAATGCAGTTGAGGTACAAAAAAACAACAACAAAATGCACCATTTTGAAATGGCAGACAAAAACACAATGCTTTTTGTCCTGAGTTAATATGTGAATGCAAAAAACTTTTTAGAAAACAGTGCAAATAACAGTTTTTCCTTTCTCCTGCTAGTGAAGGACTTATTCTTTGCTCCATAGGATTAAAGGCCGATTTATAGTCCTGTCACTGGCTGTGAAGATATCCGATCTTGATATCCGCCGCTTGAGTGCCGTTTTGCTTGCACACGTCACACTGCAATTAAACTTTCTTGTGAACAAGAGCTAGGTAGAATTTTTTAATGAGTCACACCACACCGGAATGTTCATGAACATTCCACAAATGCCATAGAACAACATAATTAGACAGCGGATTATGAACTGGTCTTCAGTCTTGGCCAGTTGGCGAGTTTGTGTGGGAGATAGGCTTTTGTTTACATCCGTGACCGTTTCTGTGGTGGAGTCATGCGTTCAGCCAGGCCGAGTCTCTGAAGCTCAGAATGGAAGAAGGCCTGCAGCCGTAGACCGGCCTTTGCTTCGTTGGTGTTACGTGGGTTGTACTCCAGACAGTTGGAAAACATGAGCTCCACATCCTCTATATACTCCGCTACGAGATTAAAAACACAAAAGAAATTACATTTAGCAATGATTTATATTGTGCGACTCTCTTTCAAGCTGTTAAGGTGGGTTAGATAAGGTTCATTCTAAATTACATTTTCATATACTCAAGTGGATATTTCTGTTTTTGAAAGTCAATTTGTGCAGAGAAAACCTTCAATTCCATCCCCCCCTTAGATGCAAAGCAAGCCACTTTGAATGAAAGTGTCTTTCAAATGCATGAATGTAAATATAAATAGACAAAATTCATAAAAAAAAAAAACCTATTCTGACATCAGAGGGTTTTGAACTAGGTTAATTTGAAAACCTTATTATGACTTATGTGACAACTAGTTTTATTTAATCCTTGCTTCCACAAAACAAAATTATTAACTTACCAGCAGTTTGATATTCACAGTTGTTGACCTTTTCCCTGATTGTGCTCAAGGCGATGGGTTTTTTGATTATGTCATAGTAATCAGGCACCTGGAAATATGTGCAATAAAAGTAGTCATTAAAACTATGAAAATAATGCCTCAGTGTAAAACTGGGAAAGCGAGATTTCATAACTGCACAGATTATTTAGGAGTACAGCTGGTCGTAAACCAACCAAGAATGGGAGCTCTATGACCTTGTTACAGAGGGTTATAAGTGTGAACAGCTCTTAACTTCTAAATGCACTACCTGAGTTCTGGACACTAGTTTCTTGAAAGGCCAGCTGTCCTCGTGTCTGACTAGGTCCACAGTGAGCAGCTCACAGGCTGACAGCTCGTGGACGCCTAAGTTTCTCCCTGAGCTTCGACGGTTGGATGAAGTGGTGGCTGGAGCCAAAATGATCTTGGCTTTTGGGGAGACCTCTGCTGGAGAAACAGTGGCAAACCACAATACATGAGATGTGAACAAGAAGTCTTAGAAAAAAATGAAACGGGAAGAATAACAAGTGTCTGCATTAAGTTAAAGATTAATCATGTCATTTTCTCCAATCCAAGCTTAAAAAGTCTTTAAAATTTTGTTCTGGGAACAAAAAAAACAAAAAAAAAGACTTGCGAGATGTCAGAATTGTGAGGAAAAAAACTTAATTGCGAGATGTAAAATCACAATTACAAGTTTATAACTTGCAATTGTGAAATACAAACTAAATTCTGAGAAAAAAAAGATCAGAATTGTTACCTATAAACTTGCAATTACACAAAAAGTAGTCAGAACTGTGAGAAGCTTTTTTTTTTTTTTACTCCATGCCAGAAAAACAAAGAATGACATTTTTGAGTCTTAATTGTGAGATAAGTCATAATTACCTTTTTTTATTTTTGTTTTAGCCACAGTATTTTTATTTTAGCCATAGTATCCTAATTTGATGTGATGCAGTAAATCAAATGTGTTTCGACGGTTGGATGAAGTGGTGGCTGGAGCCAAAATGATCTTGGCTTTTGGGGAGACCTCTGCTGGAGAAACAGTGGCAAACCACAATACATGAGATGTGAACAAGAAGTCTTAGAAAAAAATGAAACGGGAAGAATAACAAGTGTCTGCATTAAGTTAAAGATTAATCATGTCATTTTCTCCAATCCAAGCTTAAAAAGTCTTAAAAATTTTGTTCTGGGAACAAAAAAAACAAAAAAAAAGACTTGCGAGATGTCAGAATTGTGAGGAAAAAAAACTTAATTGCGAGATGTAAAATCACAATTACAAGTTTATAACTTGCAATTGTGAAATACAAACTAAATTCTGAGAAAAAAAGATCAGAATTGTTACCTATAAACTTGCAATTACACAAAAAGTAGTCAGAACTGTGAGATAAGCTTTTTTTTTTTTTTTACTCCATGCCAGAAAAACAAAGAATGACATTTTTGAGTCTTAATTGTGAGATAAGTCATAATTACCTTTTTTTATTTTTGTTTTAGCCACAGTATTTTTATTTTAGCCATAGTATCCTAATTTGATGTGATGCAGTAAATCAAATGTGTGTGTGTGTGTGTGTGTGTGTGTGTGTGTGTGTGAATTCACTGACACTCCTTACCAGTAATGGGTCTCTTCCTAGAGTCTGTATTCTCTGCTGTAGGACTGGGCTGGTTGGATTTGGTTGTTGTGCCATTAGCAGTGAGCACCTCTAGACTAAGACGAGCACTGGAGCGGCTTCCTGCCCGGGGAGGGGGCTTTCCATTAGACACTGGGGTGGACTTCTTGCCTGAGTTTTTGGAGCCTCCTTTATTAGCAGACTGGTTCTGTTTGGGTGTGCTCTGCTGTGAGCGAGGCATGGAATGACTTGATTCAGCCTGTTTTGATCTGGTGTTCAAACGAACTCCTTTATTGCTATGTGGAGGCAGTTTCCCAGCAGCCTTCTTGGACACACTGTTAAATAAATAAGAAAAAAGAAAACAATGTTGATTATATTTTTCCGCATTCAATTAGTAAACCGGCAAAAAAAAAAATCTAAATAAAGAAAAAACCAAGTCCACTAACTCTTCCTCCTCTGACTGTTCTTCTTCTGACTCGTCGTCTTCCTCTTCTGATTCTTCTTCCTCTTGTTCAGACTCCTCCTCGTCCTCCATTTCTTCTTCAGAGTCAATAGAGGAACGCTGACGGGAGTTGATTCTATGGGAACGCTGTTTGGGGCGGCATTCAGGGCAGAACCAGTCTTCAGAAGGAACAGCCTGTAAAACAAATGAAGGAATATCAAAACTTTTATCAGAAGTTTAAGAGAATTTCTATTTACAAATACATATACAATAATTTATTAACAGATTGCTGATATGCAAGTCTATTTTGTCCTTGGCTGTATGCGTTTGTTTATACATACACACCTTTAAGTCTGCATGGCAAATCAGGGTTTATGAAAAAGAACAATTAATAAGGCGTCAACTGAATTGAACCTTTCAAAAACTATAGTCCTCACCTTCAGTTTTGGCCGAACACAGAAGATGTGATAGCCTCTGTCACAGGCGTCACATAGAAGCATGTTCTCAGCGTCTCCTTTCCTACGACACACCTTACAGCGGGCGTTGAGGATGGATTTGGCCCAGACTATGCTGCGCTCAAGTGTGGAAAGATGCAGGAAAACCTGCGACAAGCTGGAGCAGGCCAACAAAGACTCACGCCAGCGTTCTTGCACAGTTTTCACCTGCCGCCCACTTTCACTGCCATCTGTTGAGGAAAACAGATTTAGTACTTCTAATTTAAATTAACGTGTTAAAAATGGAAAACGCTTTCAGTTTTTCAGGTAAACAAGAAATCTTACCATCTTTCTCGCTGGACTGGTCGTCATCTTTCTTTTTGTCCTTTTTCTTCAACTTCTGGTCTTTCTTGGCATCCTCATCACCTGATTAAAAACAAAACATTTAGAAATAAGAGCCTATGGATTAACGAATTGGAACAAAAACATGTTCCTACAAACAAAACAATTATCCATATAGTTTTCAGGGACAAACCCCTATACCCTCAAAGTTTCAGAAGAAACCACAGAAGTAACAGATCTTACCTAGCGGAGCTTTCAGGAACTTGCGCTCTATGCCCTGCTCGGTCTGTGCAAGAGCGTGTGCCAAATAGTGGACAATGTTATTGACAGGCTGTGGTGTGCTCACAGTAGTGGATGTGGCACTCAGACCCTCGGCCTTCAATTCTTGCAGCCTAAACGTGAGAAAAACATCAATCGCAGGCACTGCTGTTAGCTTGTAGGAGCACCAGATTCTGTTTGAACTAGGGGTGCAACGGATTGTAGGGTTGTGTCGGTGAGGAAATTTCCCCACCGGTTAATCGGCGTGTGACAACACCGGTAACACCGCGGGGGCATTCCCTCTTTTCCTTCACTTTTAAATAGCTTGTAAAAGCGGTGTGCCCATTTAACTTTCACTTTAAAATAGCGGCAATTCGGACTAAAGCAATTGTTCGTTTGAATTTTCCCTCTTTTCCTTCCCTTTTAAATAGCTTAAAAGCGTTGTGCGCATTTTACTTTCACTTTTGAATTAGCGGCAGTTCGGCGTCAATTGCTTGAATGCAACAACAAAATACAACGTCAAACTCACTTTAGCCTATATATAAAACATAGAACTTTTATTAACAAAACAAATATAAATACACCATGCTATAGGGCAAGCTATGCCTAATATAAAATAAATAACTTACATAATAGGTATACAAAACTGGAAATAAATAAACATGTATAATATATAACCAAATAAATAAGAAACGTAGGACGTGTATTAGCAAAACGAATAAGAAAGCTTGGAGGCACGGCATACACCTTGATGTCAAATAAAATAAATGACACAAAGTTTAAATAAAGTAAAAATCAGCAAACAATGTGGAACCAATTAAATAAGAAAAGAATGTTTAAAAATTTTTTAAAAATCACCTTAGATAAAAGGCAAAAGTCAACAGGCTTTTCAAAATCCAAAATATTGCCAAACAGGCGCTTTAAAGACCGGAAAATAACGGTAATTTTAATTTGCTAGACTATTTTATCTACAGCTCGTTAGAGGTAGAATTCTTTAGTGAAATAAAGATGATATTTATTGAAATGAATTCAAATTAATTAAGGAGAGACAGAACGAACGAGCGATTGTGAAGCATTGCAAACAAGCTTGTCAGTTTAATTACAAAAACTGCTAAGTTATCACCTCATTGCTGAGAAATATATGTAGCTTTTAGCTGTTGTATTTTCAAAATTCACGGGGCGGGGGTTGAAAACCAGCTCCTGAATGTGCAATTTCTTACCTATAAAAAGTTTCCATCTCAATAAAATACGAGCGCATACAGCACGCCGGCATTAAAACGCCATTAAAAATCTTTATGAGCAAACGTGTCGCCCTCGCATTGGGAGTTCTGTGGAGAATCGGATATGTGTGTTTAAACGTAGGACGTTCAGTTTTTAATTGTAGTGTCTGTTCTTTTACTGAACTAAATTATTTTTATTACTATAAAAAATCAAAACGACGGTGGGGGTCAGTGACGCGGTGGGCAAGTGACGTAACCGGTGTTGCGGCTTAACACCGGTATCACCGTCAACACCGTCTATTGCGGCAAGCCTAACGGACTGTAGATGATCCGTACGGATCAGGCAGCACAGTTCAGCAGGCATGTGATTCACGGATTAACGGTTAAGTTTAACATCATAGAGTTAAAGTTTATCATTTGCACATATTTTGTCTTGCCAGTTTACACATTCAAGTTATTTTAAATCGTGCGCTATTTTCTGTGCGCTCAGCCACTGCCGCACACACACACACACACACACAGAGAGAGAGACACTGCGTGAACAGCGAATTGATTCCTCTTTCACATACACACAAAGTTATGTTAAAATACCCATTTGGCAAGTATTCTAGTAAACACAGTCAGTTATGTCCTTAGTGAACGTAAACAGCCAAGAAAGAAAACGGATGCGTGTCAGTATTAGGTCTGTGCATTTGGTCTTAATGATTTGAATGTTTGTAACAGAAATAATGATACTGTGTGGCTGAAAAGACTGAAGCTTTTTCATTCATGACAGATGACGGCTGCTCTCTTTAGGTCAGCGGCAGCGCGAACGCAGATTTAAATGTTCAAATCACACTGGTGTGATCGTATGCTGCACGGACGAACCAACACGTCAAAGGTTGAGGAATGAAACAGACGAATAATTGTAATTTAGGAATAGAATCACGTTGGTGTTTGAATCGTGTTTGCGATCTTTAACGATCTATTAAATTAAAGTGCTTTGTCATGTTGGTGGTGACACCTCTCTTGCAACATGTTTAGCTATCACAGATATTATACTTAGCTTTTTTGGCTTCTGATCGCAAATGTAGCCAAACTTTGGAGCGCTTAGATTAGCGAGCAAGGTCCGGTTCTTCGGGGAAAAAAAGCGCATAGGAATCAATAGGCGGAATCAAAATTTTATTTTGACAAGTATACGATTCCTGACCTTAAGTATCCGATTCTGGAATCGGAATCGATTTTCGATTCCCAACCCTACTCGGGATGCACTTTTGAGACATGATGCAATAACGGAAATATTTCTCTCTAGGCTCTTTTTTTTTAAGAAACAGGTTATGATAATCGCTTAAAGAAATGTTATATAATTCAGGGTATACAGACACCGCCACTATGAGTGCCTCCTCCTCCATCAAATAAAACAGTTGCCCTACCAACTTGCTTGCAAGTCTTGCCCCGCCTCCAGGGTCTTCTGATTGGTTCCCTGTTTTGGAACGCAGATCTGTTTTGGAACATAAAAACGCAGTGCTCATGTGCGAAACGCTGCAAAAGACACAAACGCTATGGTCATACACATCCGTCTAGCGTGTGTTTAAATAGAAAAACACTGGTGAAGTACACTCTTAAAAATAAAGGTGCTTCACGATGCCATAGAAGAACCTTTTTGTCTAAATGGTTCCATAAAGAACCTTTAACATCTGAAGAACCTTTCTGTTTCACAAAAGGTTCTTTGTGGCGAAAGAAGGTTCTTCAGATTACAAAAAGGTAAGAAAGAGATGGTTCTTTAAAGAACCTTTGACTGAATGGTTCTTTGTGGAACCAAAAATGGTTCTTCTATGGCATCGCTTGAAGAACCTTTTGAAGCACCTTTATTTTTAAGAGTGTAGAGTTAAAGTTTATAATTTGCACATGTTTTGTCTTGCCAGTTTACACACAAGCAATTTTAACTTGCGCGCTATTTTCTGTGCGCTCAGCTGCTGAACACACCCGAAGCACGCACATGCAGAGGGAGAGACACTGCGTGAACAGCAAATTGATTCCTCTTACACATGCACACAAAGTTATGGTAAAATACCCGTTTTGGCAAGTATTCTAGTAAACACAGTCGGTTATGTATTAAGTGAACGTAAACAGCTGAGAAAAAAACGGATGTGTGTCAGTATTAGGTCTGTGCATTTGGTCTTAAAGAGACAGCAGCCAATATCTATGCTTGTAATTTAGTTAATTGTTCTGGTTTTATTACTAACTTTATTAGTTAGTGGCATAGAAGCTTTTAAAGTAAGCTTTCACAAAAAATTTTTTGCGGATCCAAAAAACGATCCGTGACTCAAAATCCATAATATGATCCGAACCGTGAGTTTTGTGATCCGTTGCACCACTAGTTTGAACAGAAATAAAAATAAACAGCTAACAGACATTAAAGTAAAATAACCTGTCTTTGACTCTGATGTGATTCTCATAAATTTCCATTGGCTCCTCTTCTCCATTGATCAGCCCGTTCTCTTTGGACTGGGGATTTAGAGGTTCATAGTTCCCGTTTTCCAGTGCGGCTCTCCATGAGTTTCTGTCCAACACCTTTTCAGAGATCAGAGGCACAAATTATTTTTTTTTTAAATGCATATTTAATAAATATATAATAAATTAAAAATATAAAAATAAGGGAGGGGGAAAAAACCAGATCAAGCCACATCACACTGTAAGAAATACAATATTTACTACTATGGAATGTGGTCAATACAATCAACATACTTTAATTGCTCCCAGAGTTCCCTGATAGATGCGATCCTCAATATCCAGTAGTAGATCTCGGAGACGGCTCTCCATAAAGCGCTCAGCCGGTACAGTACTTTGTGGGTAAGATGGGCCAACTTTTGGCTTTAAAGTGCTGTCTTTGGTTTCTTGCAGAGATTCATCTGCACAATAAATGACACATCATTTGGATTAATGAATAATTCTTTTTTTCCCTCTTATGCTCACCAATGCTGAATTTATTTGATCAAAAATTCAGTAAAAAAACCCCCAGTAATATTGTGAAATATTAAATTTATCAAAGCTGAATTTTCAGCAGCCATAACTTCAGTCCTCAGTGATCCTTCAGAAATCATTCTAATATGCTGATTTGGTGCTCAGATATCATCAGAAATGGTTGATTCTCAATTATTCATAATGGTTCAATTATTAACATGATCATGCTCATCAGCGACAGACATCAGTATAAAAAAAATAAAAATAAAATAAAAAAAAGTCACAGGCACCCGCAATTGGGGCATTTGAAAGTAAATTACTGTTACATTTAAATAAAATAAAATAAAATAAAACATGTAGTCTTACATCTAGGGATGCACCGAAATTAAAATTCTGGGCCGAAACGGAAACCGAAAATTCTGGATGCACTTGGCCGAAAACCGAAACTGCTTTATGATTATTTATTCTTTTATTAAATAATATAAAAGTAATTTTGTAAGACTTTTTAAATTAATTTTAATGATACTGGAAAAAAAAAAAAAAAAAAACACAAGCCAATAAAATAACCACACTTCCTGAAAGTAACAATAAAACTGGACAGAATTTATATTAATATTGGTAACACTTTACAATAAGGTTCATGAACTACTTTAGTTAATGAATTAAGAATGAACAATAGTTCTTCAGCATTTACTAATCTTAGTTCATGTTAATTTCAACATTTACTAATGCATTATTAAAATCAACAGTTGTGCTTGTTAACAGTTAATGCACTCTGAATTAACATGAACTAACAGTGAATAACTGTATTCTCATTAACTAACATTAAGAAAGATTAATAAATACTGTAATAAATGTATTGTTCACCATTCGTTCATGATAGTTAATACATTAACTAATGGAACCTCATTGAAAAGTGTTACCTTAATATTAAATATCAATATATTATTTGTATTCACTTCTATGTAACAGAATCATATAAGTTTTTTTTTTGACTAATTATCCAAATAATGTATGGTCCTACAAAGCTATTATTATCAGAGCATATGAGCAGAGCATAGCGTCACTGAACGTAGCATTATTTTACCAGCATTGCCAGCAGTTTACAGCTGAACTAGCCTACACCATGTTACAGCACAGTGGCGCTACTGCAAACCGGAAACAATTAGGCCTATACTGCATGGAAATTTCCTGTCAGCGCATTACTTGAGCAGACTTTGCTTTTCTGATAAGCATGAGCGGTACACGAGCGGAACGCACATTCATAGATCGGAATATTGAGTGGAGCGTCAAACCGCGCAGTGACGAGGAGAGTGAAACATGCGCGCTGAACACGGCAGGGCACGACGTGGCACGCCATATGTATTATTATAATAATCATAATCATAATAATAATAATAAGTAGCCTATATTTTGGGTGCATCCCTACTTGCATCCCTTTCTCATTTACAAATCCGAACTAAGTCCATACATCCGTACACCCTCTTTATTTTACTACCTTACTGCATGCTGAAGGTGACCCAGCTGACCTCACCAGAAAAAAAACTCCACACCACCATCTAGTGGATTGTACAGAAATTGATTTTATTATTCTACCAAATAGTATAATAAAAGATCGATACTTGGTGTCCGTGTATCGATACAGTATTGCCGCAGAAAATATCGCGATACTATGCTGTATCAATTTTTTCCTTCACCCCTACTATGTAATAGACCTTAGTCAGGTTAGACGCTATATTGAATTTAATGCAGGTGAAAACAAGACGTGGGGGATAGACTTAAGTCTTTACAGTGGCACACAGTGTATAAAGGTCCTAGATCATGCTCTAGATCACAACTTTCAAAACTGTTTTATGGTATTTTTGTCTACTGAGTTTTTTTAGCAAGACATTTCATCAGCGTAAAAATCAGTATGTTGTTAAACAATAGAACATCCATTGAATATATTGTACTTGTATACCTTACAGCCTTGTTTTAATTTCTGTCAGAAATATGGTGCTACCCTGACTCCATGCCGTACCTCTCTGCAGCTTCCTCTCGTTCTCTGCGATGCTGTTCAGCTTTAAGCTCTCGCAGTTCCTGCTTGGCAGATCTCTGCTCGTCTGCATTGTCTTCTATAAAGTCTCTTGTAGAAACCAAAGTCAGCAGTTTTCCACACAAAGAATGGAGGATCTTTAGCTTCTCTCCTGAACACATATGTAACAATATTAGACAGTGCAAAATCAGAAAATGTTGATTTATTTATTTTTATTTACGTATTATTATTATCATCATCATCATCATTTTCCCCCCAAAATTATAAAAACTAGAAAATTAGACTTTGAATCCCAGATTTTCAGACTTTTGGACCGCAATGTATGTTTTGTAAAAAAGAAAAAAAGAAAAAGAAAAGAAAAAACAAACAAACCAACAACATCTAAGAATTTAAAAAAAACAACAAAAAAAACACCTACCAGGCAGCAGGTCATAGACAGCAGTGCAGGAGAGCTTTTTGAGCAGGCACTGGTTTGACAGACGCAGCTCCACACAGGGGTCGTCTGTGGAGCCAAACCCACCCTGTTTCTGGTAGCGAAACTTTGCATTGGTGGACATGCAATCTGCCCCCGAGGCCAGGATGTGCAGCCTCAGAATCTCAGAGAGAGTACAGCTGTCCAGATCCAACTGCTTCAGACTACAGCCTGTGCAGAGAAAAGGAAGAAACATGGTTCCACTGGTTGTTTGAATTTACTGAAAGTATATATTATAACAGTTTATATTATTCATAAAGGCACAAAGTTATAATTCTTAAAGTGGTCCTAAAGACAGACATATATCAGGGCACATCATCTGACCTTGGTGCAGTTGTGGCCAGGCAGCAGCAAGAGTTGCCACAGCGTTGATGGCAGATTGTGTGGGGTCAGCGTCATCCTCCAGAGCTTCACTAAGATCTAAGAATGAAAACCAGAGTTATTCAAACCTGACTTGCCAGGATACTGAAGGTAAAATAACATAACATTTACTAGAAAGGACTTTCTAGTAGTGGTAAACCAATGTCAGCTAGGTGAACTAATGGGCTGAAAAAATGCTAATTGAAATAAAATATTTTAAAAAGTGCCCCTATTATGCCATTTTTAAGGTTGCTGATATTGTTTTATGAGTCTCCTAAAACAAGTTTACATGCATGCAAGGTCAAAAAACACGTTAAGTTTTCTCAAAAAATAGATTTAATTTTACCTCATTTCTAAATGATTCTTTAACGACTCGTGCGTAGCAGTTCAAAGAATCAAGTCTCTCTAAACCCCTCCTTTCCGTGAGCCCCCACTGCTGTGATTGGTCAGATGGCGCGGTCCTTTGCGATTGGTCCAGAGTCATTGAGAGCTTGGCTCTGGATTGGTCTACCACACGGTACAGCACGTGTCGGATACGAAATGCCCATTGCCATGACGGAATGACAGCCCTGGAGACTTGTCAATACATAGAAAAGATGGTATCGATTGTACCTTACCAATTCGAGCCGAATTCTGATGATGAAACGGTTGAACTGGCTGATCGACAAGAGACTGATTCGCAAGCACGACTGGAGCAGGACGTTTCTCAGTGGTAAGTGTCAAGTGCTAACAAGTTTGTGGTAATTATAAGATGTGATAAAACAAATTTACTCTCACAGCGTAGGATACAGCATCTTCTCGACATGATGTTAACCACACAGAAATTTTACTGTTTGTGGGTGGGCAAGTTGGCGACGTAGAACGTGGGCAGACATTATGCAAATGTGTTACTTTGCGACGTAGAGCCGTAACAATAAGATTAGAATTCCTGATGACTCGTTCAGGCGATTGAGAACAGACTCTTTTTTTTTTTTGATAGACTAACTTTATTTATCGTGCACTTTCGGCTTCACAACGTTGCAAATTAGTTTATGTTAAATATTCAAATATTTGTGCACACCACTAGTTGTAACCTCAGCAACTGACCTTTGGTGTCCGCTTCCGCCACCTGGTCTTTGGCCACTTCCTCCTGTTCCTCTGCCAGAGCCTGAAATATGGCCGAAAGGAAGAAGAATAGCAGTTCACAGAGTGGCCCCTCGGGATCAGAGCCCACCAAGGCCTCTTCCAGCACCTCTGTAAACAGCAACAACCCTCATCAGGAACGTTCCAAAAATTGGCCTCCGTCTCCAAAAAATAAATAAATTCAGGCATGTGATCAGCTAGAGAAAAAAAAGCTGAAAAATCTCACCACGCCCCCAAGCCACAGCCCTGGAACTTAAAAATGTTTTTCTGTCAATATGGGGTGCTGTGTATACATTAATGAGGAAAAAAAATTAACTTAAATGATTTTAGCAAATGGCTGCAATATAACAGAGTGAAAAATTTAAGGGGGTCTGAATACTTTCCGTACCCACTGTATATATGTATATATATATATATACACACACATGCATACATAAAAAAAAAATCACATTTAAAAATAAATCTTACTTTGTATAATATATACTTTTTGTCCTATAAAAATAAAAAGCAGCATTTAAAGCAGGGGTCTCAAACATGTCGCTCGCGAGCTACCAGTAGCTCGTGGCCGGGTTGGAGGTAGCTCGCCAAGACATACTTGACATATCGGCCTGAGGTTATTTTAATTATCCCGTGTCATATTTTAATTATCATTAAACCCGTATTTGATTGTAGCGATTTGAAAAACTCAAGTAAATATTGTTCAGCTTTAATCTTAAATTTAAGTTATTAAGAGTCTCACGCAGGCGCAACATGCAGAGTAGTTTCATTTTGTGTGAAAGCATGACTGAAGGCAGACTGCTGAGGGAAATAATGTATATGTATATGAAAGAATGTATGATTAAATTATAGGGCCTTTCGCATCGCGGGAACCTTTTCATAGTACCAGAACTAATTGTGGAACTACCCACTTTTTGGCGTGTTCGCACCGCTGGAACTGGGTTTAGTATTGGGTTTAGTAACGATTTTAGTACCGGACTGCCTTTTTCGAGAACCAAATTAGCTCCAACTCCGGAGCAGGGTCTAACCAGCACAACTGGTACTAAACGTGACGCAAGTAGACATTGATTGGCCAAACGCGTATGAAAACGCCCTCACCCGCCATGATTTAAAACGCTGTGTAAACATACTGTAAACATTGTGTCGCAAGTATGGAGAACAGCGATAGATGGACGGACGCTGAAGTGCAGGCACTTGTAGCACTGCCAGTTGTCGTTGAAGATTCTTAGATCCTTTCCGTTCTTTCAATCGCTTTACGTATACGTCGACTTTCCATGTCCATTATTGTGAAGCCCGCGAGACACAACAAAAACACAGCTCCGATCACAGCGTCCTCCATCCTCCTGTTGTTAATGTTGTTCTTTGTTTCTGTTGTTGAATGCCGCGCACAAATGACGCTGCTGTCGACCGGCTTACGTCAATTTTTAGTACACACTGTCGGTGCGAATGCAACCCTTTAAATAGCACTGGGAAATAGTTCGCGCAAAATCATCCCAGTACTTTAGTACTGTACATTTAGTTCTGGAACTAAAGCGGTGTGGAAGGCCCTTATTTGTATAAATGCATAATAGGAAACTGTCTTCAGGAAAGTTTTGATGGCATTCGCTTTCCATTTTCCCTCTGTGTAATGCATAATAAAGCAGTGTTTAGAAGTGCAATGCTGCTTTGTTTACAGATGTTACGGTGGAAACAGCTCTGTTCTGCTGTTCATAAGCACCACCTGCTGTTAAACTGTGAATTTACAATTCATTCAGTCTGTCTGCCATATTACTGCGAAAATCTGATCAAATTTTTGTTGTAAATCTTAACCAGTCAATGGAAAATAGGCTACCTTGTTATCAGAAGTGTTGCGATTTTTAGAATGCACATTAGCTTATGTAGAAATGTTTATGGAGTAGATAATTTTTTTATTTATCATTCCGACTCATTCTTATATATATATATATATATATATATATATATAGATTTATAGGGTGTTGTATATGTTATATTTTTTTTTTTTTTTTTTTGTTAAAACTTTTTTTTTTCATTTAACACTCACTTTGTCACGTCCAATGCAAACCGACTTTGGCTTTAAAGCAGGGCACCCTCATGCATTCTTAACACACTCTGAGGTGTGGGTGAGCTCATTTAGAGTGTCTGTAATGAGCCGATTTAGTGTATGAATATAGAAGCCCTATGACTACCATCATTTGAATGGTCATGAAATTATCGTACATTATGGGATATATACTTTTTATATTAAATTAACTATATTCTTATATATATATATATATATATATATATATATATATAGATTTAAAGGCTGATGTATATGTTATAATTTTTTTTTTTTTTCAATTGTCAAAACTTTATTTGAACATGTAGTACATGTCAGTAGATAACAAATAAATATAAATATTTTTTGTTAGTTTAAAATCCGGCCATCATATTTTTTGTTTTTATTTCACTGTTTATGCAAACAAAAAGTGCATAATGCCGCTAATTTTATTTGTTGGCTTTTGTCATAAAGCTTGGCAAAAACATTTCAGTGTGTGTATATCAGTACTTTTTTAATATTTACTGCACATTTTAACAATGCAGTGTATAACAGTTTGGATTGATACATTACTTAAGAGATTTAAGTATTGTATAACATTGGTAGCTCTCAGCCGCTTTCATTTTTAATAAGTAGCTCCCGAATGAAATAAGGTTGGAGACCCCTGATTTAAAGGGAACCGCATTTTTGATTATTTTATAATGTTTTCTGAGGTTCACTTATAATGTTAGTGTGATTTTACACTAAAACAAAATTAGAATAATAGGCTATTTTCTATCCTGTTTTTGAGCCTCTCTGCAGAAGGGTCTGTTTTTATAGGAGGGGCACACTCAAGACTCGCAAGTAAACGCCCACTGCTATGATTGGCTAACAGCTTCGCTTACTAAAATAACAGATGGATGCTGCTGTGACATACTCTGAAAAAAACATGGGTCATTTAAAACGTATAAATCCTCAGTATAAACGGTCTGGAACAGACAATGCAATAGTGGTAAAAGCACGTTTACTCACACTTATTACTGTTGGATCCACTCTAGTCATACTCAGCGCTGCATCATCGTTTACTTTCAGTCTCTCTGAAAAGCCTGCATCATTCTGTCTTGTTTAAAAATTAATCCATAGCAAAGTAAGCAAACAAACAAATAGAGTTTCACTGATGCAATCTGGAGCTCTTTGCTAATTTTACCCTGTGTTTCCACTGTACACGAGCGGCACAACCCGACTATAGACAACAGAACCCATTGTAATCGGCGATTCTGTTTACACTAGATGCAGCACGGATTGACAACAAATCCCAGACAGTAAACTGATGTCCCGATCTATTCTCTGACATTCAAGCATTCGCACCACTTCTGACCTGAAAGAGAAACTGATTCATGACAAGACGCAACAGCGTGCATGTCCGATATGTTAGGATCACAAGGAAGGCAATTCAAAGACTATTTTTCATAACTTACACTACACAGTCTCTTGTAATGTCATCTGTATGTTTCTGTTGATGGAGTAATCCTGTGTTCGCATCTCTCTAGTATTTCCTCTCCTCCTACTACAAGTGTGTATCAATGGGTGGGGCTAAAGAGACAGTGATGTGAAGGCGTTGATCTTCTCCTGCGGAGGCAGTGCTTAGCCACACTACTACATCATAAAGTGGCACATTCCAAAACGAGTCGTTTTCTGAGCTTAGTTTCAATTAAAGCCATTTTTAAACTAATGAGTGTTGAGCTTTGAAACTTACAGGATGTTTTTATAGTACATTGACCTGTTATATGTCAAAAGATCAAGGGAAATTTGATTTCTCAGTTCATGACCCCTTTAATAATCATGATAATAATTAATAACATAAAATATAGTAAAAGTATTAATAAAATTGTTATTATTAAAGTACCTGCCAAACATTACAATTATTAATGATTTTGAAATAAATCTCTTCTGCTCACCAAGGCTGCATTTAATCGATCAAAAATAAAATAAAAACAGCAATTACAAATAAAATAAAAACGTTTTCCATTTTAATATATTATAAAATGTAATTTATTCCTGTTATACAAAGCTGAATTTTCTGCATCATTACTCCAGTTTTCAGTGTCACATGATCCTTCAGAAATCATTACAATTTGATTTGATACTCAAGAAACATTTTTGATTATTATCAATGATGAAAACTGTTGTGCTGCTTCATATTTTGTGTGGAAATGGTGATGCATTATATTTTTCAGGATTCTTTGATAAGTGTAGCACACCAGACTAGGGTTGTGACGGTGAGGACATTTTTCCACCGGTTAATCGACGTGTGACAACACTGGTAATACCAGCATCACCGTATTATAAAATGTAATTTATTCCTGTTATACAAAGCTGAATTTTCTGCATCATTACTCCAGTTTTCAGTGTCACATGATCCTTCAGAAATCATTACAATTTGATTTGATACTCAAGAAACATTTTTGATTATTATCAATGATGAAAACTGTTGTGCTGCTTCATATTTTGTGTGGAAATGGTGATGCATTATATTTTTCAGGATTCTTTGATAAGTGTAGCACACCAGACTAGGGTTGTGACGGTGAGGACATTTTTCCACCGGTTAATCGACGTGTGACAACACTGGTAATACCAGTATCACCGTTGGAGTGGGGAGGGGGGTGTTAGTTCGTTTGAGTTTACCTCTTTTCTTCGCTTGTAAAAGTGCCGTGCGCATTTTACTTTCACTGCATCATTACTCCAGTTTTCAGTGTCACATGATCCTTCAGAAATCATTACAATTTGATTTGATACTCAAGAAACATTTTTGATTATTATCAATGATGAAAACTGTTGTGCTGCTTCATATTTTGTGTGGAAATGGTGATGCATTATATTTTTCAGGATTCTTTGATAAGTGTAGCACACCAGACTAGGGTTGTGACGGTGAGGACATTTTTCCACCGGTTAATCGACGTGTGACAACACTGGTAATACCAGCATCACCGTTGAGTTTACCTCTTTTCTTCGCTTGTAAAAGTGCCGTGCGCATTTTACTTTCACTTTCAAATTAGCGGCAATTGAATTGCCGCAATTTGGCATTAAGCAATTGTTCGTTTGAGTTTCCCCTCTTTTCCTCGGATTTCTTGGCTTTCAAATAGCGCGAAAAAGAGCCGTGCGTGTTTTACTTTCACTTTCAAATTAGCGGCAATTCGGCGTTGATTCAATTCAAACAACAACAACAACAACGTCAAACTCATAGAACTTTAACAAAACGAATAAAAATACACCATATACGCCTAATAAAATAATAAATTACTTAGGCTACACAGTTTAAATAGGTATATAAAACTGAAAATCAGCAAACACCGTGGAACCAAATATATAAGAAACATAGAATGTTTATTAGCAAAACTAATAAGAAAGCTTGGAGGCACGGCATAAAGGCTACACCTTGATGTAAAATAAAATAAATAAAATACAAAGTTGAAAAAGTAAATCAGCAAACACTGTGGAAGCAAATAAATAAGAAACTGAAAAAAAAAAGAAAAAAAAAAAAACTTTGTCAATAAGCTTTTCAAAATCTAAAATATTGCCAAACAGGCGCCTTTGCATTTCCTTTCTAAACAATCTTCTGCCATCGTCTTGTCTTTCTCACCTCACTCTTGTCAATCAGCTCGACTCACTCTCCTCACGTGATAAATAAAATTTATCCTGCTCCGTGGTGCACTGTCGTTCATGCACGGTTCGGCAGGCTGCATTGAGCATTTAGTTTTTAAAAGTGCCTGTCCTCTAACTGATTTTTGTTACTATATAAAAAAAAAATCAAAACGACGGTGGGAGGCGGTGCCGCGGAAGGCAAATGATTACGGTGTTGCAGCTTAACACCGGTATAACGGAAAACACCGTCTATCGCAGCAAGCCTACATCAGACTACAGCCTATGAGTAAATCAGCAAACACTGTGGAAGCAAATAAATAAGAAACTGAAAAAAAAAGAAAAAAAAAAAAACTTTGTCAATAAGCTTTTCAAAATCTAAAATATTGCCAAACAGGCGCCTTTGCATTTCCTTTCTAAACAATCTTCTGCCATCGTCTTGTCTTTCTCACCTCACTCTTGTCAATCAGCTCGACTCACTCTCCTCACGTGATAAATAAAATTTATCCTGCTCCGTGGTGCACTGTCGTTCATGCACGGTTCGGCAGGCTGCATTGAGCATTTAGTTTTTAAAAGTGTCTGTCCTCTAACTGATTTTTGTTACTATATAAAAAAAAATCAAAACGACGGTGGGAGGCGGTGCCGCGGAAGGCAAATGATTACGGTGTTGCAGCTTAACACCGGTATAACGGAAAACACCATCTATCGCAGCAAGCCTACATCAGACTACAGCCTATATTTATATAATTACATCACAACCGTTGCGAATTTTATGATAGTACTAAGCAATCTCAAATTCTCACCATCATTCATAAAAAGTTACTGGGCGAATAATAAGTTTCAGTGCTGATTCTACTCTCATTGGCACTTTGAACCATTTGAACCCTTTTAACTGTCCTGCAGATGGCGCTGCACGCTCATTCAGCACTCTCAGCACCATTCTGTCCATTAAGTATTTAGAAAACATAACCTTTTCTCAGTTTATTTAGTTAATTGCTAAAGGCCATTTCATGATTTCACTCATCATGCAGTAACCAGCATCACCCTAAACACCTCCCCACCCCCGATTTTTTCCATTCCTGATCTGCATGATTCACGTGGGTCATGATTTTAGGCCAGAAAAAAATAAAATAAAAACGGAATTCCAGATTAATCTGGAAGACTCACATCCCTGTAAATTGTAAAAGAAAAGCCACTCTGTAAGATAGAATGTTATTAGGACACTCATGCTAGATTTAGTGAGTGGGAATGGCATAATATCCCATAGTGTAATGCATTTATGAGCAGTAAGTGTCTCTTACCAAGTGTTACGCCATCAGGGAATTCATCCTTTAGATCAAACAGCTCTCCAAATGCATTCAGGAACTCAAGCACCATCAGAGCATCTCCAAATAGCTCTGGAGGAAGACGTGTTTTCACTGGAAGAGGCTTTGGCAGCTCCTGAAGATAGGCATATTTAAAGGATTAGTTACCTTTGAAATTAAAATTTCCTGATAATTTACTCACCCCCATATCATCCAAGATGTTTACGTCTTTCTTCAGTTGAAAAGAAATTAAGGTTTTTGATGAAAACATTCCAGGATTATTCTCCTTATAGTGGACTTCAATATGAATAAGGGTCTTACCTAGCGAAACGATCGGTCATTTTCTAAAAAAAAAATAAAAAAGTACATGCCTTTTAAACAAAAATGCGTGCCTTGCATTGCTCTGCACATCCATGACTTCACGTAATATGTAATTACGTTGAAAAGTTCACGCTTGACGTAGGCGGAAGTTAGGCTTCAAAAGATTTAAACACCCAGGATACGCACACAAAGTGACCGTTTTAAACGATAAACTGACACAAAGACATTTGAATATATGTCATTGAACATTCAACAACTTTTGAACGGTCCTCCTTCTCCACATTTGTAAACATTGATTTTATTTTATTTTTTTAGAAAATGACTCGTTTCGCTAGATAAGACCCTTATATTCCTCGTCTGGTATCGTGTAGAGCCCTTTAAAGCTGCACTGAAACTGTAATTTTGACCTTCAACTGTTTGGTAGCCGTTTAAGTCCACTATAAGGAGAATAATTCCTGGAATGTTTATCAAAAACCTTAATTTCTTTTCGACTGAAGAAAGACGTAAACATCTTGGATGAAATGGGGGTGAGTAAATTATCAGGAAATTTTAACTTGAACGTGAACCAATCCTTCAAAAACAGCATTTAGTCTGCTGCTTATGTATGCGTCCCTGCAGACATGCGTTTAATAGTCTGGGGGGCATGTTTACCTTTAGGTCATCACACTCCATATCCTCTCGAGGTTTGCTCCATAACTTCAGTCGTTCTGCATATTTTTTCTTTTCCTCCTTTAGCTTCTCTCGTTCCTGCAGCACATTTACAATTAGCCGTAAACAACAAACAAAAGTATAACAGGTGCAATAACTAATAAAATTAAAAATTATAAAAAATAACAAATAAGCATTATTTACTTTTTACATATGTAGGACCAAAAATTTGTAAAAGACTAGAGATGAGAACAAAAAACTTCCAACTCACCCTCTCTTTCTCAACCTTCATTCGTTCTTTCTCCTCTTTCCGCCTCTGTTTCTCCTCTTCTACTATCCTCTTCATCTCCTCTCTCTTTTTCTCCTTGTCCTCTTTTTCTTTCCTTTTGGCCTCAATTAGATCTTCTCTTTCTTTCTTTAATTTTTCTTCATAATGCAAGTCATGTAAAGAAACAGCAAATTTATGCAGATGCATTGCATAATTCACCCCATGACATGTCTAGTCAGTGTGTAACTTGTATTTTGCATTTTAAACGTACCCATGGCCATCATCTGTTCTTTCTGCTGCATCAATTTTAACTTCTCCTCGACATAATTCATCTAAAATTGGGAAACAAATCCTCATCAGAGAAACAGTATCAGATTGAATTTTTTTTCTTGAACAAATGGTGTGCCATACTTCTAATTGCCTGAATGAAGATGGCCAAGTTGCAAACATTACATCTAAGCACACATAATAACCGACCTCTGTTGGGGAGGCATCATTAGGACGGCAACCTCTGCCCTTCCCTGGTGGACTGAAGATAAACACTGGGGGCTCGTCCGGGAAGAAGTGGGAGAAACTGTGACGGTATTACTAAGTGTGTGAAATCAAGTTAAATTATATTTTAAAATATTTAAAAACTAAAAATGATAACCAATGTATACGTTTCACATTCACTACAACTTCTGAAAGTGACCAGCAGTGTGTTTTAGAATTACATAAAAAGCAATGTCACAAATCTAAAAAGAACAAAGATACAAATTAAATAAACAGTGCTTTAACTTTCAGACAGGCTTACATAAGATATATTTAACAGCAGCATTCAAGAAAGAAACAATACAGAAACTCAATCAAATGTAAAACTAAAACACTGTATAGTCTAATTAATATACACTGATTCATAATAAAGCTACAAAGCTTAGTCAGTCAAGAGCAGTGAGTGATTTTTCTCTTTTTCTTTTGTTGTTTGACAGACAGCTGCAGGTTTACTGTATTATTAATCTGATTTCTTTCCCAACTGTTCACGTTCTCTTAAGACTAGGGCTGCACGATTAATCGAAATTAAACCGCAATCGTGATTCGCCAAAGGCTGCGATTTTTTTACATGTACAGCTCGTCAGTGAAGCAGGGTTCTGTGATCAGTAGTAAATATTGCTCCATCCGAAGGCCAGAGGGTGCTCTTCTGCTGAAACTCCAAATCCCCGCAGAAGAAAATGCAAGTTGCTCCAGCAAATCCCTATCCCTGCAGCTGAATAAACAGAAGATTGAACTGCTTTCATTGATTCAACGTGACTAATAAACACACGACTATGACAATATATGGTTTATCTGAGTTCTTATTATAATAAAGTATATATAATGCAATGCTAATCGACATAGCCTTTATCACTGCATAAACTATGAAATAATATGTTGCGTGTCTTATTCTGTGTAAGAAGTCACATCATCTCACAGAAGGATTTATTTCAAACACTCGACTGACGTTATGAAGTGAGTTTGGAGTAAAAACTTTATTAAACGTCTTTCGTTGGACAAGAGGTTCATAAATGCTTGTCATGTTTGAAAGATGTTTGACACGTGTTGCTTTTTCAAATGCACGTTATAAGCAACTCAAACTCGCAGTGCTTTCAGATGGAGCAGCATTTACTACTGTTTGTGCGCGCGCTTCAGGTGTGTGTCAGACAGACAGCACAAGACCACAACGAGTTACAACTTATATTGCACTTAATTCTTTTTAACGTCAAGCAAGTTACGCAAGTAACTTTTCGCAACGTTTAGAAGTAGCCTATTATTAAAATAATAATTCAGATATCGCATGCCATTGCGATATGCATATCACGATATGTACATTTGCGATATATCGTGCAGCCCTAATGTACAGGTACAATGTTTTGATCCATTTTAAAGCACAGTTCATAAAGAAAATGCAAGCCTATCTCTAGGTCTCCCAGAACGTCAGATGGAGCAGCATTTACTACTGTTTGTGCGCGCGCTTCAGGTGTGTGTCAGACAGACAGCACAAGACCACAACGAGTTACAACTTATATTGCACTTAATTCTTTTTAACGTCAAGCAAGTTACGCAAGTAACTTTTCGCAACGTTTAGAAGTAGCCTATTATTAAAATAATAATTCAGATATCGCATGCCATTGCGATATGCATATCACGATATGTACATTTGCGATATTTCGATATATCGTGCAGCCCTAATGTACAGGTACAATGTTTTGATCCATTTTAAAGCACAGTTCATAAAGAAAAGGCAAGCCTATCTCTAGGTCTCCCAGAACAGCCATTAATTTTCCTTCTTTCTGTAAATATTGTATTGATCTAAAA